ATATCATCATGGAGGCTTCAATTATTACGGTCGCTAGCTGAACAATACCAAGACAAACTGTGAAGATACATACTAGAAGTGATAGTATAGCAAACAAAACTAGGACTAAACGAACTAAACTTGATATTGTGCCATTATTTTGTCGTGGAAAGGTAGAATGAATGCCCTCAGCTGTGGAATTTCGTAGATGTTTCATATAATTAACTCAGTGAAACACACTTTAGCGTAGTGGGAACTAGCGGTAAACTAAGGATTAACGTCAGTAAGTTATTTCACCTACYTTTTTAYGGTGTTAAWTTTATCTTTTTACACAACTGTTTCTTTAGCGTAGTGCACTTATTTTGCACTTTGCATGCTTTTCTTTAAAGGTGGGAACTAGCGGTAAACTAGTGTGAGCTGCGTCGTCGGTGTTTCTAAAGAAACAGTTGTGTAAAAGGAGTTCCATCTCTTTACTCCGACGAAGGATTAACGTCCGAAACGTCAGTAAGTTATTTCACATACTTTTTTACGGTGTTAAATTTATCTTTTTACACAACTGSTTTTCTTTATTTCACTTGTGTYACATGCATACTGCGAAAACCTCTCTGCTAGCATTARMAMTTGATTAAATGGTGTTGTCATTAAAAACAATAGTRCGGATCTTCCACTTCAGCTGCAGATTTCAATKGTGCAAATGCCAGTGCAATTKTAATCTTTCTTTCTGTCTGTGATCAGTTTAACCAGGACAAAATATACAAGTTTCTTGTTTTTGAAATCTTTTATATGAGAGCTTACGAGGAAAATCAACACATCTAATACAAGACCGAGTGCGTTAAGAAAAAACAAAGAGATGTTTAATTTCACTAAGGAATGACCAGGAATGGCAGGAGAATGGCAGATGATTCAAAACATCTTAAACTAAATAAAACTCTCAAACTGAGAAGGTGCATTCAACTGTGAAGGTAGAATAATCTGTTCCACTTGTTGGCTACTTGGGAAAGGAATTTTGGAAATCCCTTTTAAAACTCCTTCTGATCACCAGTGGAACTCCCCACAGGTAAGCGGTAAAAAGGGACATGACCGAAAGTGAGTTCTGCGGTTACTACAACTATAGATGTCAATGATATGACCTGAAACAATTCCCAACACTATTCAGCGAATTATGTTTAAACGATTTTGTTCAACTTGATGAAATAATAATTGGAACTTTCGAGTGCCCATGTTAAATCTCGGAGTCATCCGCCCTAACTAACTAAACTGATGAAATAAAGATTATTTAGGAGGGACGGTGGTAAGAAAAGCTAGCATCTCCATAAAACCACCATTTCGGTGATGGTGTCCCAATATATTTTGTTCATGATTGTAGCTACACGCTCACCCTGTGCTTCACAAATATATATCAGTTAACTTCAATATTAAGAGGTCAGGCATCATAATTTATTGACGCTATTCGTTTTGCTAATAATATTACAGACATTGCATTCATATAACTTCATATTGCATGTGGGAGTGATAGGGTCACATACATGGTGGATCCATTGGAAGGACGACTTAAAACAGCCCGAGTAACCGCTTCGGAGGACCTAGCTGAACTGTTCAACAACCACACTGGTCTGGTTGCGATTTTYACACAAGGAATAAGGGTTAAGTAGCTAAACTCTCGTGACATAGTTCATTTCCAGTGGTCGCTAGTTCTATTGCTTTATATATATATTTAGTCGACTATTACACTTCAAAAAATTGAAGAAAACAATAGAATTAGAGACTGCTAAGGCATGTATCACTTGTAAAATTTAAATATCGAGGATGAYAGAATGGGATATTCCACCCTTCGACTAGAATTAATGAAAAATACTGCTCGTTTTTGATGGAAGCGATTGAATACATCGCGGTACGTTGCATCTACTCAAAATGCAAGTCTCTGAGTGATATAAACGCGTGATATTCTTTGTTTTCRCTGACCGGCTGCCATATTGGTTGAACTTCAACAAAGGATTTCTCACTAGGTATCTACTGTTCTTTCAGGCGACATGGCCGCCAGTCTTTTATCTTTTGAATCTCATGGGATGGTTGAAAACGATAAATAAACTAACGAATTCCCATTCAATCAACCAATTAGAAACGAACATTTCTTTTGGGTGTGATATCAGCCAAATAACTATTTCACGGGTTTGGTACCCTCTCCTCATGTCAATAATAATTACCTACATAAATTAAGTACTACTATAAAAGCTTGTGTTGTCACATAGCTCCAGGTCTAGTAATTATCAACACTGTTTGCTGCAAAATCTTTTACAATCTCTGAAAGTACAGAATAAATAACATTAGGTGTTGGATTTACTTGAGGATGTATATATTTGCTTCAAATGACCTGGAAATATGCAACAACTGAATCAGTAAAGACAGCTAAAACAAGCACTGCATATCTACATAAGGTTACCATGACAACTGGGACATAAATGTAATACATTGAGAACTGTTGTTTCTAAGTTTATCTTGACAATCTTGACGATACCATGGAAATTTTATGGTCACATTAACATTTATATGGTAGCCATGGCAACAATGATGAGCAAGGTTACTATGACAACAATTAAGGTTACCTTAAAAACTGCAACCTTACAGTTGGCATGACAACAGTGACCTGAATGGATTCCTTGAGAAGGTAACTTATAGAAAACTAGTGATGTCACATTCCCATTCAGAAAAATGAGGGACATTATCATAATATATTTTAATTGTCAGGTAAAATACAGCTCTCTAGGTGCGCTTTCCATTTGTCAGAACTGGCTGGCCAGACCCAGAGAAAATGTCATTATAAATCATTCTCAGCTTCGCTTCGGGAAACATCAGCTGTCTCGGGACCACAATACATAATGTTTCCCTCGGTTCAAGTAAATAAGACGTGTTAATTATATACCTCTAAATAGAGTGGACTGGTCGGCCAGTTCTGCCTAAATGGAAAGCACCCTAGATCTCCTATAGCTACTTAGAGACAGTAATAGTCCATGATCTCTAGGCAGAAAAAACCTGCACATAGTTGAAAAATTCCAGAATTGTTTACATCAATATTGGATGCAAATTCAATTTAATGCATAGTACAATTATAATTATCTAATAATAATTATCCTTTGCTAGGTATGGTAAAATTAATATCATTAGACTCTTCTACAGTCTTATAAGTTAAGCATCCCAGACATAAAAGTGCTAAAATAACAGTTAAGAAGTGGAATTATTGACTTCCTAGTCAATGGTGGAGTAAACATACTTAACCTATGAAATAATATTTCTTCTTTGGCAATTTATGGTGTCCATAAAGAACAATGATAAATCTAAAGGATGTTACAGAAATTTGTGCTAATTTGATTTTGTATAATTATTTCACAGATTAAATGTATTGCTCTAATTATAATAAGGTAATGCAAACTWAAGGTGGTATAGCTAAATTAAGGAGACATTCATAACGAGTATGGCATGCCTAGTGCTTATGACATGTGTGGTATTACTGATTTAAAATATAATCAGACATGAGGTGCAATTGTGTGCAAAGTCATCTTCATGTTATCACATGTCGCACACTATAAATTTATTATTATCAGTTAACTTCCCCCCCTGGTTAACTTCAATATTAAGAGGTCAGGCATCATAATTTATTGACGCTATTCGTTTTGCTAATAATATTACAGACATTGCATTCATATAACTTCATATTGCATGTTTATTAAGTCCCGAAAAAAATCAGAATCCATTAGAAATTGTGTAAAAAATAGCCATAGATTGCAACACTTTTGTTATCATTATTATTGATTAATAATAGTAAAGAGATTCCCTATAAAAATCCTAATTTGATGCCATAACACATATATTTAGCCACTAGGTATTATTGGCTGTCTGTTTTTACAGCTCTGGTCACTAGACATAAGGTAAACTTAAACGTTTCTGGAGTATTGTCAGAATCTATGTGTGTGTATGTATTGTAGAAAATTAGCTGTTGTACCATACAATGTGAAACAATGCCATTTTGTGCAACAATGCATATGGTATTTATAGCAGTCCGCACACTTTTTCATGTCCATAAATCAAAGAAGCCCTCCTAGGCCATTTTTGATATTTCTTTAAAAAAATTTGTTTGTGCCATTTCTACAAAGACAAACATCAAAACAGCTTTTAGGGAGATTTGTTAGGGACTATATTAAAAAGTGTGAGGACTACAACGACCATCATGCTTTGCTTTACAAAATGGTACTGTCACTGCACTTTGCATATCATTAATTGTACTGTAGTTTCACTATAGAAATGTCATAAGCACTATTGATACCAAAATATTAATACATGTTTCAATTTTAATAGTATTATTATTATTAATAATTAACAATTATTGTTTTCAGACACACAACCTGCAACGATGACCCAGTGATATTCCTAAAGAATTTGTTTTTTTATAACCTTGAAGAAGCCATAGTTGACTTACTAATGGCTAGAGTTTTCAAACATTACATTTGTATGCTCAAGTTAAGCTTCATTTCTGTGGCCAGTATTTCTAAATACCAACCAATGTACTCTTCAAACTTAGTGCCGACAATTTATGGAATCTGGGTTCCCAAACTGTAATTTCACTAGCTTAGTTACACAATAACTCAGGCTAAAAAAGTTTCTTTTCTTATTTCAAAGTAGATTAAAAACTCTCACAAAAATCTAAGAAAATGTAGCTACAAAAACCACAAACTTTGTTYTGTAAAAATGACATGCACCATGTTTGTTTAACATTTTTCCCTTACAAAATCCATTCAGATTGAGACGAAGTTGAGCTGTGTTTAAAATGCATTACCATCAGTAGCCTTCGAGAATATCTTTCCAAAATTCGAATTTAGTGAGGACAAGTCACTATAATTGGTGACTCMTTATTTAAAATMCACTGAGTCAAAGTTGCAAGAAGGAAATATTACCAGTTAATACAACACACAAGCTTTGAGTACCTATTTCATAATATATAAACTCTAGTGACCATTACTATATATGGTAGTACTCCTCTAGATAGAGCAGCTGATAAGAACGCAATGTTCTACGTCACAAGTTTCCACGGTTCCCCATGTATATTCTTATATGGCCCTAAATTAAAAATATACTCCCTATGATCTTTCTTATCTTGGCAGTATGTATATCTGGACTTTTCGCACGAACATTTGATACAAATAAATTGTAATGTATCACCTATTCTTGAATGCGCAAAGGTACAATATGCAGGCGCCTTCCCTACCGTATGCCTAGAGCACTCCTCTGATTTATCCGCCCCGCGCACAGATACCCCGTGGCGCATGCGACCCTTATCATCAATAAACATAGGCTTAAATTGAATTTTACGTGCTGATAATATATGCTTGCCGTCAATAGGAAGCCATCCCTTCTGTATTTCTGCTTTGGGCTTGGATGTCGCCTCTATATATTCTTGACTTGCCATTAACTTCTCAAGATAGCTTCTTAAATTGGCAGATCCAATATCTTTATAACTATTACCCACAATTCCRCTGGTACCACTCTCTATACTTATCTCATCACATTTGGTAAAAGCGCTCTGGGTTTCCTTTGGACGGGTGGATGTATGGTGGGACTTGACATAGGGTGTGTGGTTGGTGTATGGTATGGSTGGTGGGCTGGATAATGGAGGGGGAGAGGGGTGAGGCATGCTGCTCGAGCGTGGTCTTGGTTCTTTGTTTTCTAGGGCTTTGGCTGAAAAAGTCAAAATGAAGTTTTAGTTAAGTAATTTAAAAAGGCTAAGTATGTTTCTGTTCTCTGATATACTCATATTGGGAGATAGAGAGCTCGAGAAGCAACAATCAGGGGAAAACAGTTGTTGCTAATGAGCTGAAATTGATAATGGAGTGCTCTCTTCTCACATTTATTTAATAACCTCCCCTCCCCTCAGTGTCACCTCTTAGGTGATGACATGCATCTGATAAAATAAGGACTACAGAGGGGAAGCAATGGCTTAATGTGTAAAGGTATACGATCTTATAGAGAACATACTCCATCTTTAGCACAATTAACAACACATTAAGGTATGGCATTGAAGCTTAGAAATGCAAGTGCAGTAAGTTGTTTCTCTTCTCTGTTTGGGGGCTGTGAAAGCAACAAACTATTGCATGGTTATCAGCCAAGACAGCATGCTATATTTCAAAAATCATATGATAACAAATACAATTTAGTATTTTACTCTACATATTTATATCAATCATTTCACTTCAATTTGTACCTGTTGCCATTTGCTTCTCCTTCAAAGCAGCAGCATARGACTGCTGTTTCTCCTCAGCTATCAATGACCTCTCAATYGCCAAATCTTCCCGCTCGTCCAGTATATCAGARTCCTTAACCTGGAAACCGTTCTCCTCCAATGGAACTGCATCTTGTAGCTGAGGGGAATGTATGGGACTGACCTCTCTGCTCACTGACGTCGCAGTTGGACCACCAGCTTGTAACATACCAAGRAACCCACTAAGACCAAGGTCCTCATTTCTAGGTTGYTGATAGTTGTAAGCATTTGCCCACATTTGCTGCTGTTCAAASACTGACGGCACATGCTGAACAAAGGGTGGTCTACCATCATTATTATTTATGGGTGGTGTAACATGGTTAGTGAAGCCTAGATTKCCCATGTGRTCTATCATTGACGTATATTGGTTATAATTAATGGAGTCGTGGTAACCGCTGCCTATAACTCCAGGGGACTGGTGCTGGTAGGGTTTATTTTCTTCTGCAAAGGTCTGGGTCCAATTATCAACCATGATTACGGATGCTTGTATGGCAGCGTTTATTAATGGGGGCTTGTAATGATAATTATCTGTTATATCCATGCCGTTTCCTCTCGAGCGCCATTTGGTCCATGATTTTGTTATGGGTATACACTGACCAAGCGGTATCTCAATTTCCTGGAAAACAATAAAAGAGTCAGAATACTGTCACGAAATCTTCAAGTTTTCAGAAAACTATTCCCAACTCAGTAACTAGCTTCACTCATATTCAAGTAGATGAACAAAGGCAGCAATTCTATTTCTATTTACCGCATACCGATTGGCTCAGTTGKTTGAGCATCGGACTACAATGTGGGAGGTTGTGGGTTCAAACCCTGGCCGGACCAATACTCAGGGTCTTAAAAATAATTGAGTAGAAGTTGCTGCCTTTGTTTCTCCATCTGCAAATGGTAAGATCTTCACGTCCTCTCGGATAACGACGTTAAATCGGAGGTCCCGTCTACTCTACTCTAACCCTGTAGTGGACGTTAAAGAACCACTGAGGATGCAGGTACGACCATCCTCAGTGTCTGTACTTCGGCTGCATAACCTTGAGGGCACTAACACACTAACGCACTAACAAATCTAACATACTCATGTTTGTAAACTGCTCGGCTGCTTAAAGCGCCTTCAATAGCAGTCTGTCCAAGTCCCTCACTAACTAATGTTATCCAGATGCAATTCAGATCAATGGTCTGCGAAATCTGGAAAGTCCGCCACATCTATCTATCTATCTATCTATCTATCTATTTCAGAATAGTCTCCTTCAAAGTTACTTGCACCATCTTGAATGGTAGCTGTGCCTTTACATTGAAGCGAGACAACCGTTGAGTGTGCAACGATAGACACCTGTGAATAACAATTATTGTCTGTAGGTGTGAAAGAAGGTTTCTATCATTGCACGCTCAACAATCCTTTTGCTTCGCTGCAAAGGCATGGCTACCTTTCAAGATGGTGCAGGGAACCCTGCAGAAGACTACTGGTCTGAAATTGTTTTGATTTTGTATATAAAAAGCTACCTTTAAGAGTTTTTTTAATTCATCTTCAGAATCCATATATCTTAAAGTCATATCCTGAAATGATAAAAAAATTATATAGTAAGTAACATGATATAATGACAATCCTACATTTTGTTATATCACATCCATATTAACTTATAAATTAAAAATAAGAAAAAAACAAGGAAGCGATAAAAAAATGAAATAAAAAATAATTGAAATCCACTTCCTGGATGTGCATTTACAGCAAAAACACTTGTATTACAAGGTCTAAAAGGTTTGTAATGTGTCTGAAGAAATTTGGGGCCTTTCTGCGCTATAAGGATAAATAAACTTTAAAATCACTTTAATTCAAATAAGCTTCTTCTTTGGATGAAATTTTGTATTCAAATTGATTGAAGGATTGAAACGTTGCCCTCAAGTCGCAGAGAAACCAAAAATCCCAATAACTTTATTAAACATTAGGGTCTCAATGTAAGGCTTTTCAWTGTCAATTATCACTGTTAATGAGCATTACCTGTATACGATGACGCAGGAATACTTCCTTAAGGTCAGGCATCCCTAAGTCGTCTAGCAATTTAAATACCCCCTCATATGTATCCATTGTCACATTGGATATAATATAAATTTATATTTGATATAAATCTGCAACAAATGAAAACATTGTGTATCAAATTCTGTGTTWTTTTTTCTGGTAAATTGGTAACATCACTTAGCACTTTATGCGTCAACTACTTCAATGTAACTAAATTCTAAGAAATAAGAAAATTGCTCACTTTTGGAGAATTAATAATAAAAATTATTTAATTGTAACTTAATTATAGCTTCCATATTCTTTATCAGGACAAATATAAAGTTAAACTTTAATAGTAGAGAAAAAAAGTATCTAAAATCGCATGGTTGTGTGGTTTCCTTCATGCAACAATGAACCTCTAAATTATGTACAAAACAAATTCTATCTAATTCAATATTTTTTTTGTACAAATTATCGGTAACACTATATACCACATCATCAAGACTCCAAATAACAATATTTATTGACAGCTGGAAAGATTCAAAAGCTTGTACACTTATAGTATATAATAAATAAACTTGATTACAAGTTAAGCTTATATCGTTGAAGATAATTTCACCGTATTAATTTATACAAACACTTAGGAAATTCAAGAACTTTGAAGAGTTCTATTATCATTTTAAGTTTCCAGATAATTGAAACCATTAACGTTAAAAATAATTGCTTATCTAATGGCAGCAGAACAATAGTTTTAAAGGTAACATGTAGTATCTTAGTCTCTAATAAATAATTCATGCTTGATTGTAAAATGATGTTTTGAAAGTTCTACATTTCTAAACTCCAAACTTAACCCAAGGAATTCTGATATGAAAGATTGCTTGATTGCTCAAAAAGCAMTAAAAATACATCACAAAATTGCAAAATAATGCTTCAGCTTTRAATTGATAAGGAAGCTTAAGATTTATTTGACTTTCTGGTATTATTTTTAGTTAGCGTCCAAAAAGCGCGAAAACAAAAACAGTGTTGATTACCAAGTGAAACCAACTTCTATAAATTCTAAACTGCCGAGAAAAACGTTTTAAATGTTTAAAAYAATTTTCAATGGAAACAAAAAGCGTGTTTATGTTATTAAAAATCACATGAAGGAGTAACATGAAAGAGAAATAGCTCCACATCAGAGAAATGCTTACGTTAAACAAATGTCTGGTAGTAAATCTCGACTTCGATATAAGATTACGTGGACGAAGTACATTAACATCCYTTWTCTTGTAAAGCAATAGTGAGAACARTGTATTTGTCACCTACCTCTATATGTTTTTTACCTCCAGGGATTGRGGAACAGGTTTTTTCTATAGCGTATTTTGTGCTTTGATGCTAAAAGACGCCATTTTGAAAACATGGACGAAATCCTTCGATTACAGAAGCCGCGCGAAGACTGGGGTGGAACTATTGGATTTTTTGGGATTCTAATCTGTTTTCTAGAAAATTGAGTCTTTTTAGTAAAAGCTTTGCAAAATTATACGAAATAGAAAGTTTTAAATAAATACTCAATTTCTCTTCATTTAWAACTAAATAAAACTGTCAAATTAGCATATATTTTATTCTAATGTAGCGACCGAGAAGTGGACTGGGTTCTAGTTTGGAAYCAAAATGGCRGCAAAGRCCTTTGTATTCAATGCTGTTCAATGTTGATTATTTTCTGTACGTTTTGAGCGTGTATACTTGATATAAAATGTCTGAAGTCTTTTATTCTGTTATCCTGTGTGTTTTGGGAGCTACTGTACAGCGATGGGCCGTCTCGCTTGGTAGTTATTCTGGTAAGACACTATGAAAATCAATTGCTTTAAATAAGTTTTGTATATCATTCAACAGATTTATTATTCTCTTATCAAGAACTAAATTTTATTACTTAAGTAAATTTCTGTAATTTCATGCTGAAAAGAATTTGTTCAACTATGTTTTTTATGTCTTTATGAGAAATTCAGAATTCTTTAAATTAAGTTAACTAATTGCATGATATCAGACGTTGCATGTTTTCAAACACAATATCAAATGATGGTAATTTGGTCATGACAAACAAATATTATATGTTAAACCAAGTATGGACAAGAAAATTTTTCAGGAGGGAGGGGGAATCCAGGATTTTCTCCAGCAGGGAGGGGTAAAGGTCACCAAGGTGCACACCTTGCATCCCCCCCTCCCCCAAATGGACCTGAAACTGCGTTTTTTGGTGAATTCAAAGCTGAGAAAGATAATGGATTCCAGTATTGTATAATGCTTTATATCAGTTTCCAAGTATCTCCGCAAAGGCAGCTTACCCCATAAAAGATAGCCCATAGAAGTTATATAGACTTGGCTGTGAAGAAGGCAGTGTGTATATTATTGACTATTTTTCAATAGGCAAGGGTAAGCCACCAATGTATGGYGACTATGAAGCACAGAGACATTGGCAAGAAATTACATACAACCTACCTGTCAATCAATGGTGAGTGGGGATGATGAAGGCTCAACCTGTGCATAATTAGATGGACTTTTGTTAAAAGCTCAAAATTCATATTTTAATTAAAACGTTCCAATCAGAGATCGCCCGATCATCCAAACTAACTTKTCATGCACTCAAAATTGGTAGTAGGCCATGGCTGCCAATTGAGGAATTGATAAAGAAGTATGGAAACAAGGTCACAAAGATCAACATAAATGGCATGTATGGTAGGGTCAATTTTGGAGGTGTATGTACTTGTGTCATTTTCTGTCAAAGTACTCAAGAAATATTAATCACAAAGACTGGCCTTTGAGGCCTTGTTTTTCAGTTTGTCCCTAGTCCCCCAATAAATGACATATTGCCAGCATTTTTGAAAGTTGTATATTGGGAATTATATAGTGAACTTTCTTATTCACTGTACAATCTTTTTCTGTTTCAGACTAAATAGACACTTTTTCTTWATGGTATTCAATAAATTATGTCATTATACAGGTATTATAATTCGAGCAAGAATGATCTTCAGTACTGGGGGCTCGATTACCCACCTTTGACTGCGTATCATAGCTGGCTGTGTGGCTTAATGTAAGGCTTCATATCGGTTTGTTGTTATTGATGTTGAATCAATTATTGTTGTTTAATTGATTATTATTTATTGGAATCATCATTAAATTTATTTATKTATTTTTTGCACATTGGTTTCTTTAGAGCAAATTACATTAATCCTAATTGGGTAGAACTAAAATCATCAAGAGGCTTTGAAAGTGAACAACACCAGCTATTCATGCGTTATACAGGTATCATATTGTAAAAGTTATCATTTAGTGAGTCAGCCAGTCGCCAAATCAATCAATCAGCAAATTAGACAATCAGTTGTCCAATCAATCAATCAATCAATCATCCATGATTCAACCTGGTAATCACTGTCATCAATCAATCAATCAATCAATCAATCAATCAATCAATCATTCATCATTCTATCAATCATTCAATCAATCATTCAATCAATCAATCATTCTATCAATCAATCATTCTATCAATCATTCAATCAATCAATCATTAATATGTTTAGTACCGTGATACATACTGCCAGTAGTTAGTTAATACTAAAATTTATATAACGTTGAACTTTTTTTCAGTGCTAGCAGCTGACATCTTAGTGTATTTTCCTGCTGTAGTTTTATTTTGTTTGTTGTGCTTGCCAGGGCGCACCAAAGTATACAAGGTATTTTAAATTTCAGAGATAAGTAGTGTTAACTGCATCGTCAGTGAAACAGTTGCAATATTAATTAAAAAAGTGTATATGACTGTATGAAACCTTGGTCCAGTTTTTCATTCAGCTTGGACATGGCTGCGTAAGAAAAATACATAATTAAATTTTGCTGTATAGTTAGCCTCCTTCACAGTCATCAATAAGTGTCATGGGCTTCCTGTCTTTTTCTGGGAGCCCAAAGAGGGAGAATGGGAGCAAATAATCCCTAGTGGTCATGATTACCATTTACAAAGCCCAAATGTAGGGAGGAAATAAGATGGCTTGCCAGGAGGGAGGGGAGGGGGGAGTTATGGGGGGAAGACGGGAGGTACAGTTATAGCTACTGCAAGTGTTTGCAACTTTGTCAGAATCATTTTTGTGTTCTTTTTAGGTCCTTGTTTCTGGCGTAATTCTTGTCTATCCTGGCCTGGTTCTTATAGATCATGGGCATTTTCAGTATCCTATTAAACTTTTATTAATCTATTGATAAATGGAAATTGAATTCATCACCATCACCTCTACTGCCATCATCATATAAACCATGTGATCAATTTTTCCTATGTTAACATTTATGCCAATCAATAAAGGCAAAACAAACACCTGAGTCACACCTAAAGTTTTAGACTCAATGASATGCAAACTCATCCAGTTTGGCAGCTATTGATTCTTTGTCAAAACATAGTCTTTCTTACTCCAGAAATAACTCATAATCATAGTGTATTTTCATGTTTTTAGCATAATAAATAATAATGCATTTGTTGTTTCTGTTTTCTGGAGTGTAATTCACTTGACAACACACAGATATAATTCAGTTAGTCTTGGATTTTGTTTATGGGCTGTTTTAGCATTRTGTAAAGGTTATGATATGCTGGGTTCAGTTGSYTTTGTGRTGGCCTTGAGTTATAAACAAATGGAATTGTACCATTCTWTGCCATTCTTCTTTTATCTTCTTGGTAAATCACTATCTATGAGCTCTT